CTAAAGCTGAACTCAAATATTTGCTACTGCGCCCTTTGTTCTTAGACGACAAAATGTTGAATAAAATCCTATGTTTATAACGTTGAGACACTAAATAATTTGCAGCTTTCTTTTTTTTGGTTGAAAAATATTGCAAAGCCTGGTCAAATGTGATTTGTAATTTTAGTAATAAACTGTATCGAAAGTTCGTCTTGCTGCATCGCTTAAAGCATAGGAACTTCAACTGCATTAATCAAAAGAGTTAAAAAACGATAATAATAAATAAATAACAGAAAAATTATGATAGACGTGATTCACGACCAATTTAGAGTTAAATAATGTTATTAAAAAAGACATAAAAAAAAGTGAGGACAAACTAAAGCTCAATTCAATGAACCATCAACACATCTACTTCCGGTTTGGAAAACTTAACTATACTATGAAAACTCTAAGTAGCACATTAGACATGTTCTATGATCTATTCACATTAAAAACAAATTACTTAGGCAATTATCCAAAAGTCCCGATAAAAATTGGACACCAACCGTCTAAAAGGCTGCATGCAACTTGTAATAATAGAAATACAGTTTCATAAAACCTCTATTTAAAACATGATAAACGTGTTTTGGTGTGGTCACAGTTATTTCGGTATGTATTTGGTCATCTTCAGTCTAGCTGTTAGCTAGTGCTGGCTTCGACGTGATTCTTCGCGGATGCAATCAAAGGTGGATGTGTTGAAACAAGTGATTTAACAAAAAAAGTTGATCTAGATGAACTTCCTATTTGGACGCTTCACAAAAAAGGTAAATATTTCGTCAAAAGCTAGCTGTTTCGAACGAGTTTCAAATGGCTATATTAACACCACTGCATTTGGATACTAAGAAATGTTCTCTCGCAGATATCTAATTACCGGTTAAATCACAGACATGATATTTTCCCATCGTTATAAGTAATGCACCATAATCGTCGGTAATTTTCCCATATAAATATGCCTAAGGTTACATTGTATTGTTCTGCAGACTTCCTACAAACCACAATAGAAAATTGGCATTAAAAACGCAAAGAAATTTTACATTCCGGCTAGTGTTTGGGTATTTCTCGCTATTTATTGTTCTTTACCTCGTTTCATGTACATCTTTTTGCCCGCTAAACTAGAATATTTCGTATTTTCTCATTTGTTTTATTAACGTATTTTATTGTTCAGTCTTAATCTAAATATAAATGCAATCAATGCAAAACTTAAAAAAAAA